AAAGTTTAAAACGCAGACACGCATTTAACAGGAACTATAAAAAGGGAACTCAACCTGGAGTTCTGGTGCAATAGAAGCAACTTCAAGACAATCAAGTTGACTGTAATTTTTATTTTTATTTTTTTATTTTTTTATTTTGTGGGATACACGAGGGAAACCTTGGCAAGGCACAAGGATCCCTAGGCCGAGGCCCGAGCTCCACCACTGACCCGTACCAAGTAAAACCCTTGGTGTGTGTGTCCCACCTTCCATTTCCACACTACAGGTTAGGCAGACGTATCGAACAAGGGACTTGGGGTGTTTGTAGTATTACCATTGCGTCCCTTGACCACCTGCACTACCCGCGTTGGGTATTGTAAGTACTTCTGTTTTTGCAAAAGACGATCTTTTCATAACTAGCTTACAAAGTTATAGTTATAAGCTGCACTTGGCTATTTATGCATCAACCATCACACTCCAAACAACCACGAAAACATATATACCTGGCATGAAGAAAATCGACAGACCGAAATCAATAGTCTTAAGCTTAGCCTCCTCCTCCGTACTCACAAACAAGAAATTCTCTGGCTTGAGGTCCCTATGCATCACTCCAAGCGAATGACAAACCTCCACAACCCCAACAATCACCCTCCCAAGCTCTGCCGCCTTCTTCTCTGTATAATGCCCCTTCTCTATAATCCTATCAAAAAGCTCCCCACCCGCACAAAGCTCCATCACCACGTGCACCGCCAAAGAATCCTCGTAAGCCCCACATATCGATATCACATTCGCGTGCCCGGACAAATGGTGCATTATTTGAATCTCTCTCCTCACATCCTCAACATCCTCATCGGTGGTGAGCTTCCGCTTTAAGATTGATTTGCAAGCGTACTCAACGCCAGTGGTCTTGTGGACGCAGAGGTAGGTGATCCCGAACTGTCCCTGGCCGAGCTTGCGGCCGAGGGTATAAACGTCCTTTAGGTTTTCGGTCTTGCGCTTGAGGACGGAGTCGACCTGGAGTCCGGCGGCGCCGGAGAGGCGGCGTACGTGGTGGGGTTTCTTGGGTTTGGGTTTTGGGTTAGGGTTAGGGTTAGGGTTAGGGTCAGGGTCGGGTTGGGGAGGGGGGTGATTAGATTCAACCTTAGCGGGTTCGGGTTCCGGGACGGCGACGGGTTTGGGGGGGCTCTGGGGGTTTCCTAGGGGCTGGGTTG